TGTATTTTCACATTTTATGTTGCTGCCTTATATTAAACTGCCTTTAAAGCACTTTTCCCCACATCAGTCTACACTCCATACACCATAATAACACAGCAAAAAAACATTGAAATAAACTAAGTACTGATTGAAACTGAAATAAGTAGATTACACAAGTATTCATACCCTTAACTCAGAACTTCAAGTTGAAGCACCGTTACAGCCTTGAGTCTTTTTGGTATGATGCAACAAGTTTTGCACATCTGCATTTAGCAACTATCTGCCATTTTTCTTCTCACCTCTTCACCTTTCAAGCTCTGTCAGGTTGGATGGGGGCCGACAGACATTTTCAGTTTTCTCCAGAAATGTTCAACTGGGTTCAAGCCAAGGTTCTGGGTCACTCAAGGACATTCACCGAGTTGTCCATAAGCCACTCTTGCGTCAGAGTATGTGAGGGGAGTGGCGTGATTTTTGACTGGAATGAGGAGTGGATTTTTTGAAAGTCAGAGCGTTGTGGTTTCTCTCACTCCGAGAGCGCTCCACTACCGCTCCATCACAAGCACAATTAATGCCAACAGCCCATAATATAACTGCATCTTATCAAGAATTCACATATTAAACATCATTAGCTAATATATGTGCAACTATGTGGATCACTCAAATCAGAAAGAAGTTGAAGGTTATAATGATGGCGATGGACGAGTGCGGGAGGTTGTATCTCACGCATGTTTGTTTGTAGCATGTGGATACTCATTACTGATTGGGTGAATTCACGTTTTAAACAGTTTGTTGTACAGGTAGTTAATCTCTGCTCTAAACTTATGACCTGCTATTGCTTCACATGCTGCGCGCACAAGCTCGCACTTATCACAAGCTTGCACATAACAGATTGTGCGCACATAGAAACATTCAGGAAATTATTGTCAACGCTGTCCTGTGATTTATCAGCTGAAAAACAAATGCCACAGCATATTCTTTCTGTTTCTGAAGTAACTACAAGCCTCAGTTTCGCCATAGTAGAGAGACACAGACAAGTGAGTTAAACAGTCATTGAATATAGACTTGGGCTAATTTAAAACTATTCAAGTATTGTATATTTATTTTTCATTTAATATAAGTTCTGAACAGAACTTTGTGATATTTCAAAACATACTGAAATACTTTAGCTGCAAATTTTGCCATGAAGCGAAGCCGGAGTGACGTTTCTGATCAGTGGAGCAAGGAGTGGGAAATGTTGAACCTGGAGCGGAGTGACTATTGAATGCTTGGAGCGTGGAGGGGAAATTGCTGATCCACTCCGCTCACATACTCTGACTTGCATTGTCTTAGCTGTGTGCTTAGGGTCATTGTCGTGTTGGAAGGTGAACCTTTTGCCCAGTCTGAGGTTCTTAATGCTCTGGACTAGGTTTTCATTAAGACTATATTTTGTTGCGTTGAGCTTTGCTTTTTTTTTCCCAATCAGGTAGCCCTAGACTGGTTGCCCACTGAAGCTAAGCAGGGTTGAGCCTGGCCAGTACCTGGATGGGAGACCTCCTGAGAAAACTAGGTTGCTGCTGGAAAAGGTGTTAGTGAGACCAGCAGGGGGTGCTCACCCTGTGGTCTGTGTGGTTCCTAATGCCCCAGTATAGTGACGGGGACACTTTACTGTAAAAAGCACCGTCCTTCGGATGAGATGTTAAACCGAGGCCCTGACTCTCTGGTCCTTAAAAATCCCATGGCACTTCTCGTAAAGAGTAGGGGTGTATCCCCGGTGTCCTGGCCCTCCACTGGCCCTTGGCAATCATGGCCTCCTAATAATCCCCATCCACTGAATTGGCTCTATCTCTCTCTCCTCTCCACCTGTAGCTGGTGTGGGGTGAGGGCACTGGCGCCAATTTACTGTGGCTTTCGTCGCATCATCCAGGTAGATGCTGCACACTGGTGGTGGTTGATGAGAGACCCCCCTCATGATGATTCTAAAGTGCTTTGGGTGTACAGCAATACACAATAAAGCGCTATATAAATGCCTCATTCATTCATTCATTCATTCATACTCTGATGATTCCCCCAGTCCTTGCCACTGAAAAACACCCCCACAGCATGAGGTTGCTTCCACCACACTTTACTGTTGGGATGGTACTATGCAGGTGATGAGCAGTGCCTGGATTCCTCCATACATGATGCTTGGAACTGAGGTTCCTCAGAACAGAGAATCTTGTTTCTCACAGTGGGTTTTCATATGTCTTCACTGAAGAGAGTTTTAAGTCTGGCCA